TAGACTTAGTAGTAGACTTAGTAGTAGACTTAGTAGTAGACTTAGTACTAGTACTAGCACTGGCACTAGTAATCGAGGATCGAGACTCGAGCTTGTCAAGCCGGGTCTACAAATTTCAGAGCCGGATGTCGGTGCGTTTCAATCTATATATCTACGTGCGTAGATCTGTAATGCCTCCCACAAACAGGCCAGCATCCACTTAAGAGCTCCGGCTTGCCATCGTTCTGCGGCAAAGAACAACAGGAATGGGTGCTTCATTCAAGCGTCGTCCTTCTTTGCAAGTTCCTGTCTCATATCCCTTGTGCACAGAAAGTCGAAGGTTTCAATATCATAGTCACAGAGAAAGCCAAAGTATTCTAAGGTCCTCACCTCCAATATCTGTAGGCTCGCCGACTTCTTCTTGCGGCTCTTCCTGCAAAGCTCCATAAAAACCATACTATACTGCCTCAGGAAAACAAACAGTGCCCAGAATTTTGCCTACAATCTGTCTTGGAGTCGTTGCATGCCCAGCTTCTCTAGTGTAAAGTATCGACCTTGCCACCCTTTCGTATCTCTTGGGCGGAGAGCCTGAACATCTTCCGCAGCTCATGGGCGGCCACCCTCGATGGGGATGCCACGGTGAAGGTAGTATTGGCATGTGACGGTTGTTTCTGTTTAAGTATATATATGCAGGAATACACCTCCTTGTCACAGTCTAGGTGGACCACTAAATCTCAATGTGATGCTTGCCTTGCTTGGACAAAGCGGTGAGATTGAGGTATCCTCGTTTGTAGGAACACATGAATATCCGCATAATGGCCTCTCGTTTCAGGTACTTAAGTTTCCTCAAAATCTGGGAACCAAATCATTGCATAGTGCTACGTAGCGCTTCTTCAAGTGAAGCTCCCCCCGCCCTCAGGCGGGGAGAGCTTCCTTGAGGATGCATGAGCTATACTGCGTCCAATCACTAGAAGCTAACTCAGTCATCAAACATAATTAACAAGAAAGGCCGAACTTCGATCTTGGCCTCTTTCGGGCTGCAGCTTTAGCAGCAGCTTTGTCCTTCATTTCTTGTATCTTTCCTGCGAAGGCCCACCACGTCCAGTTGGGATTGCATCTGGGCAATATAAAATAATTCCTGGGTCGTCGGTTAATTTCGTTAAATTCAAAAACTGAATTTAGTGACGTCGTCGAAATTACGAAATTATGGTGACGTCGTTGTGCCCTAACGCCCCCAGCCAGCCAACACGCTGGCCAGCCAGGGGCGACCAAAGCTGAAGCCACGTGTCCACCTGCGCGCGAGAAGGCTCTGGCTAGTGGAACTGGAGCGATTGCAGTGGGTCTTTTGTGGTTCACACAATTTTTGTTCGTGTAGTTTGTTCACCAGCAATAAGTTTGGTCGTTCGTACAAAGATCAAGAGCCAGCTCAGCAAGCACAATGGATTTTTGCCAGGGAGGGAAAACTATTGCTTGAGGTCCGCGACACAAAGTGCAAGACCACCATTTCCTCTGACTGGGTGTTTTCCTCAGCTTGGCTAGTACATGCAAACTTGACAACACGCAAAGGAAAGCTAGCCAAAACCAATTTTTCCCAGCGTAGTTTGCCGAGCTACAGCCTGATAAAGCCCCAACAATCCACTTTCAAGGCCGCCAGGCCTCAAATCCTAGTTCGGCAAACTAGGCCCGAAATCGTTTTTGGGGACCCTTCTGAAAAGGAGAGCTTCGTTTCCAGGCCCAGATGGGGAAACCCGACAACTATCTTGAAACAAGCCCCTGTAGTGAAGCAAACTCGCGTCAGGACCACATATTTCACCTATGAGATTGGCAAAGTTTATGGGTTCGATTCCCCTTGCCCCCCTCCTGTTTCCTTTCGTTGGCCCAAAATCTTGCTTCAAGACAAATTTGACAACACGCAAAGGAAAGCTAGCCAAAACCAATTTTTCCCAGCGTAGTTTGCCGAGCTACAACCTAATAAAGCCCCAACAATCCACTTTCAAGGCCGCCCTGCCTCAAATCCTAGTTCGGCGAACTAGGCCCAAAAACGATTTGGCCAGGAAAGAACCAGTCAGGTTGGGCGTGAAAGGGAAAACAACCAAACCATCACTACTTCAAGTTCCAAGGATCTTTTCTGTCCACAAGATCTGGCTGAATGGTCCGTCTCTGAGAGGCTTTGGGGCTAGGGAACACGCTTGGCCGAACGCGGTCCGTAGGTGTTGTTGGGCACTCATCATGGCTGGAGGGCCGCTTCATGGGGGGCACAACTAAAAGAACTTCAAAACTTCCCGACCTCGAAATTGGGCAGTGTTTTTTAGTGGTGTGGAGAGTGAGCAGGTGAGGCATGACTTCTTATTTTTTTGCAAACTCGAGCCCGAAAACTCAAGCAAAACTCCAACTGACTGACATCCTCTTCCCCATGCAAATCCAGTCCTAGATCCAGTGCCCACGCCCGCCCGCGCCTCCAAAATCTCTGCCAGGACTGTGAAGTCGATGAAGTGTATGTGTGTGTGTGTGTGTTTTGCGTGTGTGTGTGTGATGTTAGTATGACCATATACCTTAATTTCAGCTTGCTCGTTAATTTCAGGTGACGTCGGTGACGTCGTTTTATATTGCCTAGATTGCATTGATTTACGTGGATGATGGACAATTCATCCCACTTCCCAACTAGTTTTGTGGGACGTTACAAGCAGTCATCGGCAAGACTATGATTTGCAGCATTTCATCTGCACTGCACTGGTTTCTCAAGTGAAATTAGCTGCTTCACTATGTTGCATGCACGTGTGCCTCATGACGGTAAAACTGCCAAAGTAAGTTCGCGAAGCATTCACACATCTTCACACAGGATTTTGATTGGGATTTGCTGTGTCTAGGTGGCCGAGTGATGTTTGGCCGTTTCAGTGTTGACAACATCCTTTCAATTGGACATGTCTGCCAGCTGCGGACATTGGAGCTGCGCCTCTCTTCAAGCCTCCAAACTTGATCTCTTCCTCACTGGCTCCTCACTTGGCCCACCGGACCAAGGGTTCATCTCAAAGAGCCAAGACCCAATCTGCGAGAATTGATGAACAAGACCCGGACTTCCACTGCTTGGACGAATGGAGATGCTCGTGGATCGCCTCTCCGAACTAGCCGAACCAGCTCACCAGAATTCAACCAATATGCGCAATATGCTGGTGCATTCTCTGTTTGACCAGGCTGGGCTATGCATCCCAACCGAAGCAAAGTTCATCTACTCTGGGTTTGGGCGCTAGGTTCTTGACACACAGCCAACTCACCAACGGTGGAAGGATGTGAGCCAATTCGTGACAATGGACGGAAATGGATGCTTCTGATCATGGACATGGGACATGGGATGCAGCCTTTTTGCCGCCGCTTGGAAAACGGCCGTTAAGAAAAAGCAAAACACTAGAAACATATTAGAAAGGCAAGGCAAGGATTTCATGATGGGGAGGGCTCAAGATAGCTTTACCAAGTTAGGATCGATTCGGAGCTCCAATGTCACAATCGTGGTGGCACGCCGAGAGCTTGCAGCAGCGCTGCCAAGCCAAACAAATAAGTGTTTCAGTGGGAGAGACCTCTAGGTTGGAAGGCACCAACTTGTGCTACAGATGTTCGTTTTCGGCACGAATCTACGAGGGATACCAAGCCTCAAGCCTGCGCCGCGCCACATCTTGGGCCAACAGGTTGAATCAGGTTGAAGTTGGAGTGATTATTTAATTCTTTG